CTGCACACCCCCCCCCCCCCCACCCCCCCATGTGCACATAGCTCTCCTTGGTTCCAGCCATTCGAGGAAGAACCGCAAATTCAAAACACCCCCTGATCCTCAAACCCGAAATGACAGACCTACACGCAGATCCGAAGCCCCGTACCTTGTAGCCAAATCCTGCTGCTTGGGGATTCGCCTCCCGTAGCCATAACCCTGGAACCCTTCAATCTACGGTTTAGGGTCCTCAACCCTAAACCCNNAAACCCCTAAACCCTAGAAGCCCTATAAGCCAAGCCCCTCCTAAACCTCAGCCTCAGCTTCAGTCCCGCAAGCCAGCAGGAGATGGATCGCCTCGTTGAGGAGCCGCCGGCCTTGGGGTGTTTTTGTGAAGCTTTCAAAGGGGCACAGGATCTGGGGCCTAGCGCCTTTCGCGATTTATCTCGGCTTAGAGGGTTTATACGGTTTAGGGTTTATGGTTAAGGGTTTAGGGTTTAGGGTTTAGTGTGAAGGCTTACGGTTTACGGTGTTGTTAGGGTTCTGAGGGAGGTGCGAACGGGCATTAAACGAGAGAATCCTGCGTTGAATAAGAGCATTTAGGGCGCCGCACGACCGGGTCTGAGGGATTCTGCCTTCTGCTTGTCCTTTGAAGGGGGGGGGAACTGGATTTATGTGGATCTGGAATGTTTGTTCAAAGTTCGGATGGCACATGGATCCTGGCAAAGAGCCTGCGACGTGCAGGAGTCCAAAGAGGTGTGTGGCGGCAGTGGCATCCACTGCATCGTGGATGAGAAGATCCTGGTGCTCGAGGTCCTCTGACCGTCTCTTAAATACCACTAAGGGGTAACCCAAAGAATCCTAGAGAAGCCAAACCTGCTGTGAAGGAGTTAAGGGCCCTATAGTAGACATCGAGACGATACAGTTTTGTTGGCGTAAAACACAAGAGCGAGTGCAAGGTGGATTGCCACCTCTTCCAGCTTGCTTCCTCGTCCAGTTTGGCAAACCGTGCTTGACCAAAAAACCGACAAGGATAGATAGAAGGAGTCTTGCTCTAGGGGATCTGACATTGTGGCGTTGAGCTAATAGCCTAGCTGCCTTTGAAGAATGGCAATATCAATCCCCAAGCTGCCGCAAAAGAGTACTTCTCGCAGCTTCCAAAGTCAAACGCATGAGCTTCACGAAGTCTTATGTGACAAACCCACGCACACACACATCTCAGCTGCAAATCCGTGCTAAAGATTCGCACTTGGGCGTAAGTCGAACAGTCAGTCGCAAATCCTAACCCCTCAGCAAGAACAATCCCAAGAAGACCAAAGGCAGTCCCTGAACCCCAACCCCTCAACCCTAAACCCCTAAACCCTAAATTGCCCCTAAACCCTAAACCCCTCGACCCCCCAAAAAAACCCTGAACTCCAGAAAACCCAAAGTTACGGAAGCGTCAGGTTCGGCGACCCGAGGCCAGACTGGGGACTCTCTCTCTCTCTCTCTCTCTGAGTTTGCGGCTCGGGGACTTTCTCGGCCCTAGAGACTCGTCGCAGAATCCTGACGAAATCCTTTGCCCTGAGATCCCCATGAAGAAGCCTTGACTCATAATATGGAGCCCAATGTAGTCTAAGCTGTATAGAGTTTAGAGTTTAGGGTTTAGGGTTTAGGGTAGCTGTATTCCTTAATTGCGGGGCATGGGGCCCTCGGGCTAAAGAGCCCTGAAAGCAGGTGCCGAGCATCGACTTGGTGGATTTGCCCGGACTGGCCTTGCCGACAGCGAAGGCGCCACGGACATCGGGAAATCAAGCACACTGGGAGATTCTTCTGTTTTAGGGTTCTGGTTTCGTAGATCCCAAACCTTGAACCCCATTTTCCAAGAGTTGTGATCTTGGGTACTAGCAACTAAGGCTATAAAAAAAGCAAAGTAACTATAGCCGTCATGATTACTTATCGCCCCGACTAGGGTACTTGTAACCTTATCTAGGTGGCAATTTGGGAAACTTTGAAATTTCCCTTGCGGTTTCTATAGAGGTACCGATTCATAAA